CAGGTCCCTCAGTCTATTGAGGACATTCTCAAGGATATTCTGGACAACCAGAAGAAAATCCTTGACACTCAGAAAGTTCTTACGGACACTGTGGATTCTCATGGGAGAGCTCTCAAGGATCTTGCTATGGAGGCGAAGAATATGAGGAAGACGCGGGCTTCCAAAGAGTCCGTGAAGGAGTTAAGGGTTGAGGTTGACAGGTTGAAGGCAGATCATCTGCCTTTGGATTTATTGCTACAGGACCCTGTGTCAGCAGCTCAGACCCAGCCAGAGTAGTCCTAGAGTCATCCCAAGAAGAAGAGGATGATTCCCCGAGCAGATGATGTAGTCATCCAGTTGGCAAACCCACCGGAGACCTCCTCCAGTCAGCCATAAGATGCAGCCTAGGAGCCTGTCCAGGCCCAGGTCCCAGCAGTAGAGCAGCAGGCCATAGGGAACCAGTCTAAGGTTCCCGAGCATATTGAGGACCCAAAGACCACTCAGTATCCCATGTAGACAAACGGGCCATAGGGAGTCTCTATATCCTTTTCCCTGTTATTTTTGGTGCTTATTTGGTTTAGTTGGCATTGAGGACAATGCCAGCTTTCATTTGAGGGGGTAGGCCCTACATTGACTTGTTGGATGATTGTATATATTTGACAGTTTTTATGCTTTCTTGAATTTTCATCTTTGGTATGTATATAATTTTAGCACTTCTTTACATTTTTCGTACTTTTTACTTTGGGCATGTATATAAAGTTTATGTTACATTGTATATATTCATCCCCTCTATTGTATATTCGATTAAATCCCCTCTTGTAAATATTCATTTTACTTTCCGCATTTTTCTTTTCCGTAGCTTCTTATTTATGTTCGTAGCTTCTTGTTTTGAACGTTTGCAATAAGCCTTTGGTTTTCTTAATGCCACAACTCTTTCCAAAGGTAGAGTTTGTATGAACATGGTGGATCTTCCCAATGTTGGATGGCGTCGCAACCTTCTTAAGGGTTTGAGTCCGTTTTTCTTTTTGCTTTTAGTAGTTAGTGGTAAGGGTGACTCAAGAAAAGCTTCACTTGGGCCTAGAACATTTTCCTTTGATCTCATGGTCAAAAACAAATTGTTGATTGTTGTGTTTAGGATGGTGAAAGTCGTGACCTTGAGACTTTTGTGTTGACCGATAATCATCAAGTGGTTTTTCGGGACCATTGTGTGCTCAAATCTTATCTAAGGTCATTGTGGGACCCCCGACTCTATGTCTTTAGTGATCCCATAGCTTGTGTGGTGAGAAATTGCATAGCAAGTCCAAGTCCCGAGCCATTGGTCTAGAACTTGCCCTGAATGTTTGTTGAGGCAAAATCCTAAGTGAATTTTGACTTGAGACATGATTATAGGCTCTCCTTGATCCAAATGATAGCTTGAACACGTCCATAGCCTACCAATGATAAAATCCCTAGTCAACCCTTTTGAGCCTTAAATCTTTTTCTTTCAAGAACCATGATACAAGCCTTTACCCATTCTAAAAGATACTCTCTCTTGGCACCCAATCTTTTCTTAGCACATGGAAAAAGTATAAGTTTGGGGGGAGAGACAAGTATGGCAAAAAAGTGATAAAACGGTACAAATGAAGAAAATGAAAGGCAATGAAAAAGAAAGAAAAGCAAAAAGACAAAAAGAATGCTCAATGTAGAATTGAATAAAAAGGGATTCAAGAAACGCAATGAATGAAAGGTGTAGAAAGTTGAGAAAGGAGAAAAGATTTGAAATGTATAAGAAAGAGTGACAGTGTGTTTCTCTAACCCCTTAGAATAAAGTGAAAAGACTCAAAAAGTCAAGTGAATATGTGCAAAAATGAAATAAAAGAAGTGCTTGAGGGAAGATGGAACCTACTTAGACCAAACATTGCCTACCCGAAACCAAAAGCATTCACTATGTCTCCACAAAAGCCCTATATGATCTCTAGTTGAATGAAACTTACATTAGTGGTGACCCACATAAGGGGCAAGCATATAGTACTTAGAGCCGGACTTGTGACTTTTCCTTGAGAGAGATGAGTAATTTTCCATTAACCTCGTTCCGAGTGCTACTATTCTAAAGGTGAGGTTTGCTTATGGAGAGCTGAGGAGGTGTGAGTTTGGGTTCCACAATGACCAAAGTAATAGAAAGAGTTTTTTGATGTGTTGAGTCAATTCTTGATGCTCTTGTGTCTCACTTAATCCATGGTGTTTAAAAGAGTAAATGTTGTTAATGATTCATTTGTATTGAGGGCAATTGTTAGTCCCAATTGATGCTAGACGAGGTCACTTTAGGATAGCTGAATTTTCTTGGATTTTCTCTTAAGGGGTGGGTCTTATTTTGTTTGCTTGAGGACAAACAAAAGCTTAAGTTTGGGGGAGTTGATAACTAGGGATTTTGATACATTTTATACTCCTTCATGCTAAAGTTTTGATTAGAAATGTGTACAAATAGTCCCAAAAAGTTCACAAGTTGTGCTTGATTGCAAGTTTGATCAAAAAGGTGACAAGATGTCAAAGATCAACTCAAAAAGGAGTGAAACTTGCACAATTACCAAGACAAGACAAGCTCACGCAAAACAGGGCCAGTGCGATCCGCACAAGTGAGGTTCAGAGAGGCTGGTATTCAGGCAAAAAAGGCAATGCGGACGCATGAGGTTTTGTGTGGTCCGCACTAGAATCAATGCGACCGCACTCGATTTACTGCAGTCTGTAGAGAGAAGGTTCAAAGAGTTTCCAGTTCCAAGTTTGAAGCCTAATGCGGTCCGTGCTCCATTTCATGAGGACCGCAGTAGAGGCCACCGCGGCCGCACTCGATTTTGTGCAGTCCGCATTGCCCAAGTTCAGAGAGTTCCTTATTCAAGTCCAGAGCCCTAGTGCGGACGCATGTGATTTTGTGCGGTCCGTACTAATCCCGCAGGGGTATTTTTGTCTAGATTTTCCAGCTTAGTATAAATAGCTTTTTTCCCATTTTTTAGGTCATCAGGTAGTTTTGTACACTGGTTGCGCTCGTGACTTCAAATATTTTAGATATTTTGAGTAATTTTAGCTTCATTTAAACATTGAATCTTAAAGTTTAATTTAACAATTAATTAATATGAGTTTTTCTTCATCTATTTCTTTGTTTTCTTCTCTAATTATGAGTAGCTAGACCCATAAGTTAGGGTTGTGGCTCAACCCTAGTGTGGGTAATTGATGGGTCTTGTGTTTTGATGCTTGATTGTCTATAGGTGTTTGATATTTGGACTAATTTCTTGTTTAATTGTTGAATTAGTGGTTGCAAACACTAGTTTGTGTTTAGTTGACTTTGGCTCTTCTTGAGAAAGAGAGTCTTAGTCTTTGAAATTGGTCCAACAAGGAATTGGGGTGTATTCAAGAGATTGATAGCCCCAATTAAAGGGTTAAATCTAGAGATAGTAATACCCGACTTGAACCTTGATTGCTTGTGCAAATTTGTAAACCCAATTGGTCTTGAGAATGTCAATCCGGACAAAATCACTCGAACTACCGAGAGGTGTAGAGTGAGTAGAATCGTGCAATGGTTATATCATACTCCCCAAATGTGACACTCATGTCTTAGACTCAAGTACCTGTCAACGGACCACATAGGCAAAAGTCACTACCCTAGTGCCTTTTACATATTTGAACAAATTGCAATAGTTTAACCTTAGCTTATTTTAATTTAATTGAGCATTGTAGATTTATAAAATTTGAAGTAAATCAAAACCCAAAATGTTTAGAAGTGCAATTAAGAGCAAATACACAACTCCACTTTAGATAGACACCCGACTCCAACTTCTAGCTCCTTGTGGAAATCGATCCCGACCTTAATCGGGTAAAAGCTACTTCGACCTATCTCGCTACTCAATAGTAGTGCAGGGTTGGCTTCGATCACTAGCATTCTGGGGTCCATGCAAAGTCCTTTTTCTTTTTGAGCAAGGAAAAGAACCTATGACTTCGATTTGATGACCTCGAAATAAATCGACCCAAGGCGGCTATTCGTCTTGTTAGCCTTTGCACGACTTTCACACTATCCATGATAGTGATATCTTCGATGGCCTTGATCTTATCGGGGTTGATCTTTATTCCTCGATTAGATACCATGAAGCCGAGAAACTTGCTCGAGCCAACTCCGAACCACATTTTTCCGGGTTAAGCTTCATGTTGTACTTCCTCAAGATTTTGAATGTTTCCTGCAAATTAGTTAAATGGTCCTCTGCGCGCAGGGACTTAACTAACATATCGTCAATGTAAACTTCCATCGTTTTACCTATCTGTTCTTCAAACATCTTGTTAACTAGGCTTTGATATGTGGTTTCAGCATTTTTTTAGCCCGAAGGGCATTACATTGTAATAGTAAGTTCCAAACTTAGTAATAAATGAGTTCTTTTCACGATCCTCTGGGTTCATCTGAATTTGATTGTACCCGGAGTAGGCACCGAGAAAAGTTAGAATCTCGTGGTCAGCCGTAGCATCGATCATAAGATCGAAGTTAGGCAGTGGAAAAGAGTCTTTAGGGCATGCTTTATTCAAGTCCTTGTAATCTACGCACATTCTAAGTTTGTTTTCTTTTTTAGGAACTACGACCATGTTGGCTAACCACTAGGAATATTTTACTTCCCGAATAGACCCTATCTTAAGAAGTTTAGCGACCTCGTCCTTTATGAATGCATGCTTCATATCAGTTTGAACCTGGGGTCGATGCTTAGCCGGTGTGTTGTTATTTCTTGTGGGATCCCTGTCATATCTAGATGGCACCAAGCAAAACAATCCATATTATCGATAAGAAATTGAATGAAGTTTTTCCTGAGTTTGGGGGTTAACCCCGTTCCCAAGTATGCCTTTTTCTCGGGCATGTGCTCGATCAGTATGGCCTGTTCCAGTTCCTCGACCATTGATTTGGTTACGTATGACTCTTCCAGAATAACGAAGGTTCGAGGAGTAAGGAAATCCTCTTCTTCTTCCTCGATTACCTATTCCTCTGGCTCGATCGGGAGTGGGATCGATGATTGCTATTTGGCCGCTGGCTTATCTTTGGTCCCCGATTTTTCCGAGGTCGAAGGCATTGGTGCTGGAGTCACTTCCTCGACCGCAAACATTTCCTTTGCAGCATGTTGTTCTCCATAGACCGTTTTCACACCATCCTCTGTTAGGAATTTCATTATCAGGTGAAGGGTCGAAGGTATTGCCTTCATGTTGTAGATGACATGGAATTTCGTATCTTGAATGGTTCCGTCCACATTTACTGGTAGGACTATCTCCTCCTTTGTTGGTTCGCTTGCCGTGTTGAAGCCATTTAGGACCCGGGATGCAGGTATAACCTGATCCTGTAGGCCGAGCTGCTCTACGTCCCTCAATCTGATTATGTTTGTCGAGCTACCTGGATCTATTAGAACACGTTTAACTTGAATTTTATTTTAAAGGATAGAAATTACCAGGGCATCGTTGTGCAGCTGAGATATGCCTTCTGCTTCCTCATCGTAGAATGATAGGGCATCCTCGGACATAGCTCCGAGTCTATTTTTCTCTAGTGATCGACACCTTGGTGCGTTTGAATACAGGTCTTTGTGGGACATCGACACCGCCAACAATCATGTTGATCACATGTTGTGGTTCTTCCTTCTCTTTTTTCTGCTTACATCTCCCTCCCTGAAGTGATTCTTAGCTCGATCACTGAGAAATTCTCGAAGGTGACCCTCGTTGAACAACCGAGCTACCTCCTCCCTTAGCTGTCTGCAGTCTTCGATTCTATGTCCATTAGTGCCATGATATTTACACAATAAGTTTGGATTCCTTTAAGAGGGATCGGTTTGTATAGGCCCGGGCCACCTGGTACCCTTGATCCTTCCAATAGCTGACACAATCCCTGATGCATCTACACTGAAATTATATTCTGACAATCGAGGTGCCTCCACGGGGTCGGTATGTTTATAGAACCCATTCTTACTCATGAGTACCCGAGAGCCTTGACCTCGATCGTTTCTCCGATCATTCCGAGGAGTGTTATGACCCGAGCCATTGTTTCTCCGATCGACATATGGCTGATATCATTCTTTGTTGACTCTTGATTCCCTATTTGTATCCCTCGGAGACTTAGCCACTAGCCTATTAGGATGAACTGAGCCCAAGGGGTCTCCCAATTGGTCGTCCTCGAACCTAATCTTGGACTGGTAACGGTTATGCACATCTGACCATGTCACAGCTAGATACTCGATCAAGTTCTACTTTAATTGTTGAGATGCTATTGAACTTCGTTCATTCAAACCCTACATAAAGGCATGTACTACCCAGTCATCGGAGACCGGCGGTAGTTCCATTCTTTCCATCTAAAACCTGGACACGAACTCCCTCAACATCTCTTCGTTTCTTTGTTTTATCTTGAAGACGTCCAATTTTCTCGTTGCCTCCTTTATGGCCTCGGCGTGTGCTTTCACAAAGGTGTCTGCTAACATAGCAAACGAATCAATAGAGTTAGGAGGCAAGTTGTGATACCAAATCACGGCTCCTTTCAACAATATTTCCCCATTTTAACAATATTGATTCGATCTCGTCGTCATTCAAGTCATTTCCTTTGATCCCGCAAGTGTTAAGTAATATGCTTGTTAGTGTTGGTTGTCCCGCGATACTTTGGTATATCAGGCATATGAAACTTCTTGGGGATGGGCATCGGAGCCGCACTCGCAGGGAATGATTTTTGTATGATCTTTTTGGCATCTAAACCTTTCAAGACCAGAGGTTCCCCGGTATTTGATCAACACGGGAGTTATAAGTCTCCACCTTTTTGTCATTATCTTCAATCTTCTTTTCCTGTACTCAATCCTCTTGGTGAGATCTTCGAGCATTCTCATAATGGTGAGGTCAGTCCCCGAGTCATTTTCATTCGACCTCTCTTGCGCTGGTTCAGCACGCCGAGTGTTTTCTGGTTCAGTTATACTCGGAGTCTTATTCTGATTTTTAAGTTGAGCGATGGCGACTTGTTGAGCTTGCAGCATCTCGAATATCACTTGGAGGCTGATTCCCCCATCTCTCATTCCTTGTGCTCCTTGGCCACCAGATCGGGCTTTCCTGCTTACACTCACTCCAGGATCTGTGCCTAAATTCGCGTTTAGAGCAATGTGTGAACTGACATCAACTGCTTCCATATTTGGCACTTCCCCAGGGTTTATTGGTGGTACACCGACCCCTATATTGTTGTTTTCTCCAAGACCTTCGTTGTCATGAACAGCCACATTTTGTGAGCTAGACATGTTTCAACCTGAGAATCAAAAATTCTTGACAAGAAAAAGTGTAAAAATAACGTGTGTTATGAGAATTAGTAATGAAAAAATTACTATTATCTTTAGCTCCACGATGGGCGCCAAACTATTTACCTCGAAAATACGAGTAACAATTAAATTTGATTTGTGGTTTTAAAGATACGTGATTTAGTTCAATACCAATTAATAATCAAGAAATATGAAGTATAGATGAATGGAATAAGCAAGACCAAACCAGTAGATAAGTTAGTAGGCAGTATCAACCTCCAGTTCTGGCGACCTCGAGATGAGTCAAGAACAATAAAGCTAAAGGACAATTCTGATGAACAACGAGCGAAAAAGTAAGATAGTATATTCTTTGCAATGATTAGATGATGTTTACAAATGATTGGGGTCCCCTTTATATAGGAGGGGGACACTAAATAAGGTACATTTCCATTTACAGTATAGAATCTTATTAGGACAGTTGTATAACCGCCTGGTACGGATTTGTACTAATTCGTACAAATCTATTCCGGAATTTACCCCATGATCTTGGGGACGTGGCGAGAATCTTGTCCTTCTGTAACAAACTCATAACGGCGCTATCTCGGAGTAGGTCACACTTGGCTCCGATATTTTTCGAACATTTAGGTCTTCAAGCCTCTTATTCTGCCTTCGAGCTCGAGCTTGGTCTTTATCGGATTTCTACCCTCGGTGCGACGTCTCGAGCCTACTAAAGGGGGGAGGGGGGCACCTGATTTCAGCGTACACAATGGGGGCACGAAAACAATTGGTTATTATGAGATGAAAAGCATTGGGTATGGCAAAACTCAAAGGTTACCTACAGGCTACAGGGGTCCTTTGCGCAAAGGTAAACCGTGAGCGTATGCAAGAAGGCTTGCGATTACTTCTCCACTGGAGCCTATCACGAGAGATTAAAGTCCTGGGCAAGTGACGTCCACATTCACAATCTCGTCTCTGTAGGCATTTAAATAGGTACTCCGTATTAAATTATTGAAATTGGGTAATTGATCGTTTATTCTCCCTTAATTACATTAATTTTCTCAAATGGTAAACAAGAAAAGCTAACTTCTTAATTAGAGAAGCCAATTCATGGACGATAGTTTTTCATATCATTTGACATGGACGAGGATAATTTGCTGTTTAATTCTCTTCAAGGGCGTGTTACGACAATGAATGCAACTTCAATGAGGTAAAATCAATCTATCTATATATAAATATAAAATTGGAAATTGGTGATGTGGCATCTCTATATGGCCAGCTTTCATATTTATCATTTTTCTGATTTTTTGAGATTTTTCTAATTTTAATACCCAAAAATCATTTACCAGCTAGAACCACTAACGAAACATATGACACTTATGGATAGGAAGAAATATTTATTTATTGTGCAAATAAAGAAAGCAATAAAGAATTATATTAATGGTAATGAATAGTGATAAGAGAACAATGAAGAATCATAATATAAAAGGCAATCACTTTACTTTGCTGCCTCCAACAATGTACTTATCTTTTCTTTCTTTTTTATTTTCCTTTTTCACCTAAATTATCGTTTACCTAATTTTTAGAAGCCCTAATGTCTCTAAAGTTATAACATTCAACTTTTCCTTTCTATAATTATTTATTTACCTTTTTTAACATCCATTTGTTAAAAGAAACAACTGTAACGAGGATTCTCCATAATCAAAATTTCATTTTCTCAATATCTTCTGGGGAGAAAATGGAACCAAAGCTACCAAGGAGAGTATGTAAGACAATGTTAGATCCTCTAGTTTATCATTTTCGACAAATATTTCTAAGGATTGAATATCAAACATCATTAGGTTCTGTGCTCCTGACTGTTGTTAAAGATTGATATCATTTTCTATCAATAATATTTAGGCGGAATACATACTGAGACACTTAAAGTTGGCACGATTTTTCATTTAGACACCTGAACCTAAGGGAGTTCCTATTGAGCACTTATACTATCCGAAACTTATTCCAATTAAGCATTTTTTGCTGAGTTGGCACATAAAGTGAATTTCACCCGATATAGGCGCGTGAAGACCCAAAAAAATAGATTTTTTTTCCTTCATCTTCTCTCTCAAAAACAAAATAGATCTGTCAGTTGTCTCTTCACTGCCGGAATCCGGCGAGAGAAATCGGTGACCTCATCCTCTTCAAAAAACCAACAAGGCCCCTTCTTCTTCTTCCGTGCTGGTCACAGAAAAGACACAGCTTTGCTGAATCAGCTCGACAGTAAAGTACGACAATCTGCTAATTGCAGAAATCGCAGGGACAGTTGTTTCCAGTGCTTCTCTGGCTCATTATCACGATTCCAAAACCCTAGGAAAACGATCTGGGTTTGGCGGCGCTAAGCTAGAAATATTGTGCAATCTTGTCTTGATAAGAACACAAAANGCTAGAAATATTGTGCAATCTTGTCTTGATCAGAACACAAAAAGATTTTATTTTTTGTATATCAAGAGTTTGAAGGCTAGGTGTAATTAGTTGATGTTATTTTTATTTTGGATTTTCTAAATGTTTAACAAGAGTTCAATGTTCTTCAATCTTTGATTTTTTATTTTTTATTATTGGATTTTAATTTTTCTTGTAAATCCTGAATTTGATTTAAGGTTGGAGAAGACAAGAGAAGTTACTTGATTTGATGAAAGTTTGGGAAATTAATATTGGGGTTGTCTTCGGGTCGTCATGAGGAATGTTTAGCTGAAGTTATAACAAATTTGGTGGAGTTTCTCTTAAAAAATTGGATTAAAATCGTGTTTGGAACAAGAACACACATGAAAATTATGAAGAACATCAAGACAACTAATTATTTTGTTCATTAAATAGATTTAATATAGTTTTTCCTTTTTTTTTACTCAAAATAATATATGGCATTTTTTTATTCGTCATTCGCCACGTCAGCAGCGAGTGCATTGCACAAACTTTGTAAGTTTGGTTGATTGTCAAATAAGTGCTCAATTGGAATAAGTTTTGGGTAGTATAAGTGCTCAATAAGAACTCCCTTAAAGTCAGGTGTCTAAATGAAAAATCGTGCCAACTTTAAGTGTCTCCATATGTATTCAGCCTAATATTTATTAGTCATATGTAATATTAAGAAAATATATTGCTTCAAATACAGGGAATTTGTGCTTCTCAAGCTGAAGGTAAAATATTGACGGGCGCAATTATGGAAACCACAAGACAGCAAGTCACGGCCAATTAGAACTTTTCCATAAATTAGTCCACATACACAATGCAAA